GCGTTAGCGTAGCAGGAATTTGGGTTGGCCAGAGTTTAGCCTTCGCGTTTAAGGTCTCGCGTTCGCGGAGGGCCTTGATCTTGTGCTTCGCGTTCGCATGCAGAGTTCCGCGTTCGCGTATAAGGAGTTGGGGTCCAGTGGATATTGGTCTTCGCGTTCGCGTTTGGGGACCGCGTTCGCGTAAGTGTAAAAGATTGAAGCATCGCGTACGCGGGGGACCCAGTCGCGTTCGCGTAGGGTTATTTTTGGGAAATATAAAAAATGTGCTTCGCGTTCGCGAGGCTGAGGTCGATAACGCAGAAATATCAGAACTGGGCAGAAGGTTTATAAACATTTCATCCGCGATTTTAATCATTTTTCCTCCACAGCTGAGCATTTTGAGAGCTTTTTGAAGGTGATTAAAGAGGGATTCTAGGAGAATTGTTTGGAGGTAAGATCTTTGAACCTAAAACGTTTGTGAAATCTAACTAGAAATTCATGGAAATTTGAACAAAAATGGAAGAACTAGGGCTTGGAATTTTGGATTTTCTTAATTTGGGATTTGAGGGGTCATTTGGACCCCGATTTTGGTGTTCTTTATATGCATAGACTCGTGGAGTGATAAGGAACCCGTTGATGTTCTAAGTTTCGAGAAGTTGGCTCGGGGCTCGGGTTTTGCTAATTTCGAGATTTTTGATATTTTTCGATTGTTTTCGCTTGGGCTTTGTTCCCTTAGCATATTGTGACGTATTCGTTCTGATTTTGGATAGATTCGACGCGCGTGGAGGCCGATTTGAGGGGCAAAGGCATCAGGATCTAGAGTTTTAGCCGGTTCGAGGTGAGTAACAATGTTAAATGATGTCCTGAGGGTTTGAAACCCCAGATTGCACATCGTAGTGCTATATTGAGGTGAGACACGCGCTGGACGATGAGCGTGGGGTCTTTTACTACGGGAGATTGTGACTTGGTCCGTCCCGATTGATGATTTTACCGCGTATTTGACGGAAACTTATTTGTTATCATCATGATTTGGACTGATTGCCATATTTGGGCTTCGTGCCAATTATTTGAACCCTTCGGGGATTTTTATCACTATTTCCTCACCGTTTTGACTTATTACTTGAACTCAGCCCTGTTGATATCTACTATTTCACAAACTCACCCATTTTTACTCAGATTTGAAACTTAAATGATATTTCTAAATGTTGTTTTGGGCTGAGAACTACTGTTTTACTAATGCCCGAGGGGCTTGTGATGATATTTGACTGAGTGCGGCCGAGGGCATATGTGAGGATACACTGAGTGATATGAGGTCGAGGGACTGAGATACATTTATATGCCACGAGGTGGCTTGAGTGATGTGAGGCCGAGTGCCTAGAGATGATGCCACGAGGTGGCTTGATATAGCGCTTGGGCCGTAGGGGCCCCTCCGGAGTCTGCACACGCACAGTGAGCGTGGGTACCCATTGTGATCTGCGAGTGAGCCCGAGGGGCTGATATTGTGATTGGGAGTGAGCCCGAGGGGCTGATATTGTTCTGAGAGGGAGTCCGAGGGGCTGATACTATTCTGAGAGATTGATACTGTGCCCGAGGGGCGAATTCCTATTTGTTATTTACCTGTCAAATTACCTGTTTTACTTGTTAAAAAGGGATTTTTACTTGATTACTTCATTGGTTTATTGTTTTAAGTGATTTCATTGCTTCTGTATAGATTACCTTGTGTTTTCGCGTGTTTTCTTGCTTTCATCCATTATTTATATTTATTACTCACTGGGTTGGAGTACTCATATTACTCCCTGCACCGTGTGTGCAAATTCAGGCATAGCAGGTCCCGCTCTCGAGTGTTGACTCGTCCCAGCTCAGGCGGATCTTCGAGGAGACTTTAGGTAGCTGCTGGCGTTCGCAGCCTGGAGCTCCTCCCTATCTATATCTTTACTTTCTATTCTAGTATTGGGACTCTGTAGTTATATTGAGAGAGTTGTTATCTTAGACGCTCGTGACTTGTGACACCCCGGTTTGGGCTGTGTCGGGATGGTTTCCCCTTATTGTTATCTATGTTTCCGCAAATTTATTACTATTAGATCATACTTTAAGATGTTTTATGATCATTAACTGCTTTAAAAGGTGTATTGTATTGGTTCGGCTGGCCTTGTCTTCACAAGAGGCGCCATTACGACCGGGTTCGGGGTTAGGGTCGTGATAACAACAATAACAACATGCATGCATCATGTTCCAACCTTATCTCCATCACAATATACCACAAAATAGCCCTGACACCCTAATCACTTCATACATAAAACGATAACCAAAGTAGTGTCCTACAACCTAAAAAAATGTAACGACGAACGACCAGCCAACCCCCCCTGCCATTATGTGGTGTTTCTCCACACTCTTTCTCCTCCCAAACTCCATAAAAACATTAGCAAACTAGACAACCCAACAGCAACGCGAAACAACCCACAAAACAGTCCCATAAATTCAACAACTCCAAACTAATTTTTCGGTTTACTAAAACATGTTTCGACTTGTCTTTTCTTTCAAATTGAGCAACACAAACAACAACAAATAATTAAGCATCTTATCCTATAAACCAGACATCAATTCAACTTAAAAATAATTTCACAACCAGCCAACAGTGATGGAACAACAAACAACATACTGCTCATTTGAAACTCGCTAGGTCTAGTCTTTACAGTCGAGTTACAACTCGTACAAGCATAGATAATGGAAGGAGAAGCATAAACTTACCTTGGACTGAGTAGAACCACGAAACCTAGTCCTTCTCCATCAAAAATCAGTCCCCCAACGCAGCTACATGAAGGAGAAAGAGAAACTAGCAAGCTGCCCGGGGTTTTCGACACTAGAATCACGTCGTAACATCCGAAATAACCTAGGGTTTGTGTGGGATTTTTGGGGAGGAGTTGCAGGGGTTAAATTTGGTTTTTTTGGTCTGAAAGATAGGTGAAATAACTGAGTTTATAATCCCTTAAAACTCCCCTCTTGGCCGACTTTGGGGCTTTTAATTTTATCCTCTCATTTTGTCAAGTAGGTGATGCACCTACTTGTCAACTTACCAATCTGCGCAGGCTCGCAAAAATACGAGTATCTCTATACTCCGAGATCGTATTGACAAACGGTTTAATGCGTTGGAAACTAGACTCATAGATATTTAATTTTTTATGTAGATCATCCCCTTATTCCAAGTATATTGGGAGAAAAACTCAGTTATATTTGACCTAATTTTCAGCACATTTATGAATGGAACTTGTGATGACCTTTTTCCAACTTTTGTTCCCCAACTCGCTTGACTTAAAAATATAACACCAACTATCATACGACTAAAAAAAACTTATAATATAATCTCCTTATAATGTTAATCACCCTAGTCTCACCCCAAAAGTACATGGTAAAACAATCCAACTTGTCGACTTTCGACGGAACTTATTTTCTTCAATTCGTTTAGCTTCTAAGCCTTCAAACCCTCTTACTACTTGGTATCAATGATCTTAAATATTTTTAACCTCCAAGTTAACATGATGAACTAACTTTGTAAACTTTTCAAAGATGATTCCATTTTTGAGCTTACATTAATTGACTTATGACGTACTCTTACATACGAAAATATGGGGTGTAACAGAAATCTCACTCCCCGTCTCCTTAGCCATCTGGAGTCGAATAGGCTGGATAAGTCCCTCAATGAACCTCCTCACTCTCTCTCTCTCTCAATGGGAAGTATAACTAGAGCATGATGGGCCAACTCGATAAACCTGGTCTCGTACTGAGTAACAGTCATGGAACCCTGCTGGAGGCGCTCAAACTGCCTCCGATAGATCTCCCTCTGAGTAACAGGAAGAAACTTCTCCAAGAATAGCTGAGTAAACTGCTCCCAAGTCAAAGCTGGTGATCCGGCTGGTCTAGCCAAACAGAAATCTCTCCACCAAGTCTTGGCGGATCCAGATAAGCGAAAAGTAGCAAAATCAACCTCATTGGTCTCCACTATCCCCATGTTCCTGAGAACCTCGTGACAGCTGTCTAGATAATCATGGGGATCCTCAGAAGATGCGCCGCTGAAAGTGGCAGTGAAGAGCTTGGTGAACCTATCCAATCTCCACAAGGCATCGACAGTCATAGCTGCTCCGTCGCCTGTCTGGGCTACCACGCCCGACTGAACCGCTCCAACTGGCTGAGCTGCTGGAGTCTTAAACTGGGGAGCCAGCTGCTCCAGAGTGCGAGTAGCAGGAGTCTGGGCCCCTCCTCCAAACTGACAGACGGCTGGGGCTACAGGAAGCAAGCCTGCTTGGGTGACACTCTCCATGAGGCCCACTAGATGGACGAGAGTGTCCTGAAGTACTGGGGAACAATGAACCTCTCTGGGACCTGAAATGGGCCCACCGGAGCTGTCTGGGCTGGAACCTCCTCGTCAAACTCAACCTGAGGCTCTGCCACTGGTGCCACTGCTCCGGGCTGAGCTCTGCCCCTACCTCGGCCTCTAGCACGGCCTTGCCCTCTGCCCCTCGTGGGAGCTGCTGCTGGGGGCTCGGGCTGCTGATCAGCAGATGAGGAAGCGCGTGTTCTTGGCATCTGCGAAAGAACAGAGTAGAAATTCGATTAGCATTACCAAACCGCACAACAGGAAAGAATAGATGTGAAGTTTTTCCTAACTCTGTAGCCTCTGGGGGATAAATACAGACGTCTCCGTACCGATCCCTCAGACTCTACTAAGCTTGTTTGTGAATTGTGAGACCTATGTAACCTAGAGCTCTGATACCAACTTGTCACGACTCCCGAGGGTAGGAAATCCGGGTCGTGACAGAACTACCTATTGTAACGGTTTTTATATTATTTTGGAACGGTTTACAAGTCCTATGGCAACGGTTTTGTTAGCTGTAACAATTTAATTGAATTGAAAAGAGTGCCCCTGTTGTGTATATATATATATATATATATATATATATATATAAAACTATAAAATACTAAAATTTATATAAATACAAAAATGAAACTATTCATAATCCAAATTGTCCGACAAGCTAATAACAAATCCATAGATATAGTGATGAAACCAATAACATACATCTGATATTTCAAGATCAAAAGTTTTAAAATATTTTGATAATAAACATTCCTAGAAACTGCCACATGCATCTACAACAATCAACGATTCAAAATTCAAGTAAGGCCTAGATCTTCACCACTGCCTCCGTCTTCCATCTCTTCATCTACTCCACCTACAAAAGAGTATAAAATGAGATTTGCAAAATGGATTATGCTCAGACCAAAGATAAATATAAGTACAAGTTTATGAAGCCAAGAACACCTATTGGAACGGTTATGGATCTCTCAAGTGACGGAGAGTTTCTTCGTTCTTACCTTTCACCTAGTTATGGATCTCTCAAGATTTGTTTGTTTCCCATCCACGCACAATCTTTGAAAAGCATGGAAAATTTTTCCTAGCTGGCTCACAGCTTTGAAACTCACAGAGTATTGCAAAGGAATCTGGATAGTAAGGTCAGCATCAACAATGTAACTGAGTTTTCTACTTTAACCACAACGACAGTTATGGCACCAAATGTAAGATCGCTGAAATGCATATGCAAGTTAATATCAATTTCATCAGTACATCTCCAAAACTTCACATCTGGAAGATACCCATGGCTATTATCACCTCAAATAGTGCCTCAGAGTATACAACTTATTTTCCAACATCCGCACTAGAAAACCTTCAGTACCGACCTTCAGGTGTGCAGTGTAACCTTAGAAATTTTTCTAAACCTTTAATAGTTTCTCCATTTTCCTTTCGGAAACAAATAAATAGGTACTGTTTTTTTTACTACTTCATGATCCAAACAATCTTTATGGGTCAAAGCAGATCCTAATTGCATTTCAAGAACCAAATAAGCCAGTATAAACAACTGCAACAAATTGCTAGACAAATTGCAAAGGAATGCAAACATAAAAACATGTCTAACCAAACAGTCCAACAAACAGTAAGCAAAAGTACAAAACATCATAAGTAAAAATCAAAGCTTAACATCCAACTCATCTCCAAAAAATTGAAACCACTTCAAATTCAACCCTAGTGTATAGAGGAATCACCTGGACAAGAAATGCAGAAACATTCTTTCTCTGATCACCCTGGAGTTGAATAACCTTCAAAACAACAATAGCACATGACATATTAGTCACAACACTCAAAAATGACCATGATGTTGTAAGACATTTAACAGACAGATAACAATCTCCCTAAAAAGAAAATGAAACAGAATTAGAAGTGATCGAGAACACCAAAATTAATCTTAATATATATAAATGTATTATCACTTACTCAAAAAAGAATATATTTAAAAGAATTTCAGAACTTTCTTATTTAATCATCTGCTTCCATCCAGTCGCAATCAGTATCATCAAACCCATCCTCCAAAATTGAGCAATTATCGGCCTTCTTATTTTCTTTCCAAAATAACATGCAATCATTGGGGCATGCATGTATTTTTTCATAATGAAGACCCAAATCTTTTATCATGTTTTTAGCCTTGTTGAAAGATTCTGGTACCTGAGCAAAGGGAAATGCCTCTTTTATTAACTCTAACAAATCTGAGAAAGCCACATTACTTAACCCATGCAAGGATTTAAGCAAGTACAACCGAATAGTGAAACTTAGTTTACTGAAATTTTCACACCCCGGATATAACTCTTGTTTTCCTTCCTCTAGTAATTTGAAAAATTTCCTTGCTTCGTCAGGTTGTCTTTCCCCAACTCCTTCTTCATCCCCTGCCTGATCCTCTATATTTCTAAATGTATCATGAAGCATTCCATCAATATCATCATGCATGTTAGAACCTTCATCATCATTGCTTGGAGAAGGTGTATTTCTCGAGGAAAAGTCCTCCCCGTGGAAAACCCATTTGGTATAACCATCAACAAACCCATGAACAACCAAATGATCCACCACCACATTTCTATAATTCCAATAGCGATTAATGCACTTTTTGCAAGGGCATAATATTTCATTTCCTTGGGCGGCTCGTTCAAATGCCTTATCAAGAAAATTATTCACTCCACCTATATACTCATCCGTCCATCTAAGGAGATTCATCCAACTTTTATCACCATAATCTATGGATATCCTTTATAATATATTCAAATCACCAAAATTAGTATTCAAGGTCCAGGGATCAAGAAGGCCATACTTGGAGGTAAAAAAGCAAAAATTGTGTTTTAAGCTTGCCCTTTTATGTCATAGAAATCTGTCCGTTAAGTCTGGCGATAGAATGTTAAAGTTAGAAATCATGCTTTCGGAAGTGTATTACTATTTTGCTTGAGAGTATGTTCTTTGAATCTTAATACGTCTTTTATGTTCAGTAGTTTTCGTCTTAAATGTTAGACTCTTTTACACTTAGAGGTCATATTTAGGCTCATATTTATTAAGTATCATGTTGTGAATCTTTACTGGTAGAAACCATGTCTTGGACACCTTATTATTTGACTAACATGTTTAAGCATAATTTGAGTTAAAAAAATATTCATTTTGACAACTTTCTGTATCTTGATTCAATTAATTTTTTCCTTTTACTAAAACTTGCATTAATATTTCATTCTCCGATAAATGCCATATTCATAAGACTTGACTCAACTGACATGTAAAAATGAAGTATAAAAACCATATATGTAGGTTTATTATTACACACATAAGGCTTATGACTTTATCTGTGTTATTCTTTAGAAAAGGCATGACTATACAAAAACAGTTCATTCCTTCATGTAATGACCCGATCGTTCGTTCTGAGAGTTATAGCCACATTTCCCCTATCTATGCTTATTTATATGTTGTTAAGCTGTGTTGAGTTGTATCGAGTTGGTAGGTTTGGGTTCGGAGTAGTTTTGAAGTGAAATGAACACTTAGTCTCTTAATTAGAAAGCTAAGTTAGAAAAGTCAACCGGAAGTTGACTTATCAGTAAACGAATTTGGATTTGGATTTTTATGATTCGACTAGCTTCGTTGGGTGATTTTAGACTTAGGAGTGTGTCCGAAATATAATTTGGAGGTCCGTGGTAGAATTAGGTTTGAATTGGCAAAAGTTGGAAGTTTAAAAGTCTTAGGCTTGAATTCGAGGTTGATTTGGTGTTTTGGTGTTGTTTTGGGTGTTCCGGAGGTTCGACTAAGTTCGGGTAGTGATATATGACTTGTTGAAATTATTGATTTAGGTCCCGAGGGCCTCGGGTGAGTTTCGGATAGGTTTGGATTGTGTTGCACTCGTTTTTCTTATGTTTCGACGCCGTTTCTTCAAGCATAAATGATATCATATTGAACAAATGAGCTTTGATTTCTTTTTTGATTGAAGCATTAGATCCGTATTGTAATTACGGACCCGTAACAAAAAGAATCGTCGAATTTGGACATCGTATGAGGATTTTATGGTCATTTTGCTAAGAGTTAGGTTGCCAGATTTTTCAGATTAATTACGAAATTGCCATTAGCAGCGTATTTAAAAATCTGCACTATTTGCAAATATTAAAACCTACATATCTCCTTCGTTATAAGGTCAAATTGAGTGATTCAAAAGCCTAACTTGACTAAAATTTCACAAGGAATCCATTGGAGACTACAAGGTAGCTGCCAGCGTCCGCAGGACCTTGTTACTCCTTTTATCATTTCTTCTTTGGACAGTTAGACCGTTTATATATCTCAGTTCATATTTTTAGACGCTCGTGACTTAGTGACACCCTGATGTTTGGGACTCGTTTCCGTATTTTATATTATTTATAATTAGAGTTGGTTTAGTTTATCAGGAATTAAATTATTGGAAATGTTTTATTAAATTCTTATAATCAGATTAGTAGTAATTTTGGGAATAGGCTTGCCTTGTAACACGATAGGCGCCATCACGACCAAGGTTAGATTTTGGGTCGTGACACTTCATCAAAGGTGTTGTAACTTTTGGTTCAGGAATTCATGTCTTAAAATAGTATTTTTCTGTATATTTTTACTTTAGGATTATCTAAATTAGGAACTTGAGATGGATACTGTAAGGCATTTGTGATACCTTGAAACAACATATTCATTTTCTGTGACTTCAACTAGGGGTCTAAAAGATGATTTGCTATTACAATATTTATATTTATAACTTGATTGATCCTCTTTGTATTAAATAAAGATGATTTGATAAGAATTACTTCCATTCCTTCCTAATTTTCATTCAGCGTGGAAGTAAAACACTACTTTTGAAAGATTCGACACGTATCCGGCAATATATTCGGAGAGTCAAAGCAACATAGTCTGCAACATCAGTAAATTCCCTAGGAAAAATAACTTCAGATAGATTGCACCTAATGAAATCTTGTAATTATCACACTTCTGCCAAGAATTCATTATCTCTAGTAATAAACTCTAATTGCAGAAACGCCCAATCTAGGTTTTTTATAAACTCTAAACAAGAAAAACAAAATCTAATTTCTGCAAATATAAGAGAAACTCATTACATAATCTAGCCATTAAATAGAGATTTATAAATAATAATGCAATAAAAGTAGTGCTGATATATATTCTGTTAAAAGTTCACAGAGAGCAACCATCCCTTATTGCCTGGCCTATTTAAACCAAAACATAGAGTACCCTACTGTTTACCTACCTATTGAAAGACTTATTCATTCCCATGGGAAATGCATGTTAACAGGTATAGCAAGTTAAACTACTTCTCCTCAAATTTGTTATGAATTGCTTAACTATAACAGATCAGCCAATAGTCACTAACAAAATAATCTCCTGCGTACATAATCTTTCTATATACGATGTCAAACTAGACATTAAACTACGACACATAACTATTTATATTAGTGGAAGTTCACCTCTGTAGATTTTGGCACAATGAACCTATTCTACCTCAGTACCTAATACATCAGGCAAAGTATGTTGACAGAGATTCTACCTAGGTAAAACATACCGACCAAAGATTTTCGGAGGTTCATCTTTTAATCATCTGTCGTATGCCTTCATTATGATATTACATCTCCTAAATTAATTAAATATCTGAAATGATGTAATATCAAGTTGGCAACATTCAAAAGGAATTGTAGCACTTCTAGTGAGACCAGATATATAAAGCAGCAATCACTTTATATATCTTCACATTTCTTCCTAAGCCACTCGAAACACCATTATCCAACAGGATTTCGTTCAAACCCAAAGACACAGTATATTCAAACTCGAACAACAAGCCATTTTCATTCACTATCAAAATAATGTGAAGGAAGCTTACAGAAACACCGAAATTTAAACAAAAACAAAAAAACCAACCCAGAAATTAAAAAAAAACAAATTAAAAAACCCAAAATCAACACCCACACGAGTTAAGAAACTTTTGCAATAAGAGTATATTTACCGATTTTCAGATTTGGAGAAACTCTAAAGGGTACCGCCTCCGGTGCCGTCGATTATGGAGGAGTTGTTGAGCCTGAAGGAGATTGTCGATCGTCAAGTTATATTCCATATTTTCATAGAGATATAAGGTGATTAAAGCTGAATGTCGTACAATGACGTCTGACGTATACGGATTTCAATTGTGTAGATAAGATAAAAAAGTTACCAAATTTTTTCCAAGCACAGTCAATTAATCGAGTTAATAAACAAAATAAACATGAATTTCGACAAAGTCGATAGTAATACAACACATCTGCAAAACCATATAAAAGGGGAAACCACATTGTATGCAGCTAAAAAAATAGTACGAATCAAAAAATTAATTACTGTAAGAAATAAAATAAAAAATAACAGTTACCAAATCAAAAAATATTAAGAGTTTCAGAAAATAATACTTAAGAAGAGCTGAAGTCCTCTCCAGAAAATACAAAATAAACATTAGTTTTCCAAATACCACATATCCTCTAAGTGGCGTTTGAAGCCTTTAACTACCATTCTTCATGCCCAGTAATTAGATGAGAGAATATTAGTATCCCAAAATACTATCATGTGACCTAAAGTTGGAATTTTGAGCCAAAAACAAGAACATGCAGTCCAAATTGAGAAATAGATTCATACAATTGGTAAATACAGAGAGAGAAGAAAGGTGCTTACCACTCGATTTCTCAGCCGAGTTCGCCGGAGAAGGAGATTACGAAGAGCAGCAGCTGAGCGCGGCCTCAACTCGATTTGCTGATGAGGTCTCTTTGAAGGAAAACGAATTACCGCAGAAGGAACACGATTGTTGACTCTGCAGAAAAACAGAAGCCCTAAAAAGCTGAGCTTAGTCTCTCTAAATCAATAGCGGAATCAGGTAGTGATGCAAAGGCTTCGTAATCTCGATCCCAATCGCGAAGAGAGCTCTTGAATCCCGCAAACAACTCTCTAATTCGCTATATATTGGAATTTTGAGGTCTTTTTTGACTGATTTTTGCTGATTTTGATCTAATTTGAAGGTGATTTTGGGAGTACTGGATGATCTATTTTGGAGATGACTGGAGGAGAGACCCGCCTATTGATTTATGTATTTCATATTTTATTAGGTATAAAACTAAAAAAAGAAAGAAAATTAGATGGTGGGCCCTTCCATTTTAGCGGATATTAAAAAATTGGATTAAAAAAAAGAAGGAATTAATAACCGTAACAATAGAGATAACCGTTACCATAGATTTATTTATAGCTACGGTTATATAAAGTGTTGCCATATATACCTCTATCGGAATGCTTTTTAGACTATGGCAACGGTTCAGTTTCTAAGTGTCCCGGTAGTTCCAATAATTATTAGTAACGGTTAAAACCGTAACAATAGACTACCTATAGCAACGGTTATAAAACCGTAGCAATAAAAAGCGTTGCCATAGCTCCAATTTCTAGTAGTGGTTTCATATATCTCATTGTAACTAAATTTTATTAACCACCAGTAGTGGTATATATGCCTATGACCATCACAAGTGATAATTTAGGCTTTCTATGGTTACAATTGAAGATAAGCTAGAGAAATATTCTCTATATTACATACATGCCTCGATTTGCTCCTGAAATAGTATAATCGTAAAAGAGGTTCTAAGACATCACATAATTTAGTGTGATTAATGCACGTTGAGATAATGATGTTCCATTCCCTGAAGGATGAGAACTTTTGATAAATATTAATCCATTCCTGAAGTGAATGTGATAATATTAATAAATATAAACGCACTCTTGATGTAGATATATTAAAATTCACCTCCAGAAGAGGAAATATGATTGAGAGAATATATACTCAATATTTTGTATTTTAAATTTGCTCCTGAAGAAGTAACACAATTGAAATTTTCTCCTGAAGTAGAAAATATTATGAAGAGGAGTTTTCTTGTGCTTAAATAATTATTTTATATTGTTTATTTAATTATGATTTTCTCTCATGATACCAAAAATGTCTGAGCAATATTTGATAATATAAAATGTATCAACAACTCCTGAAGAGCTAATTGTTTGTCTAGAGACACATGACACCAGTAGTGTCTGATAAATATTAGATTGCCGATAATAAATGAAGGCTCTCGAAGAGCTTATATATAAATATGTCATTCATATTATATGATTATGGTCAAAACATATGTTGTAGTAAACATGAAGTTTATTAATACAAATGGCCATCATATTGAGACTACAAATGACTAGAAGATTGAAAATCTTCATGTTTTCACAATCATAGGGGGTAAAATAATATATATGTGAGAAGTTATCTGCTTTATTCTTCAA